TTTTTTTTTTGGGCGAAAAATTAAGTTTCTCCAATCTTCTCAAAACTCTGGATTCTGATAGAGGGCCATGAGACTTAGACCTGAGTGCAAAAAAATGGAGGCTCTAGACCCTTCCAGAGCTGAGATATCGAAACTCAAAAATTCGACCGAAAAAAAAAAACGACAGTGGTACCCCTTACGTTTTTTTTTTTTGGGCGAAAAATTAAGTTTCTCCAATCTTCTCAAAAACTCTGGATTATGATAAGGGCTATGAGACTTAGACCTGAGTGCAAAAATGGAGGCTCTAGACCCTTCCAGAGCTGAGATATCGAAACTCAAAATTCATTCCCGAAAAAAAAACGACAGTGGTACCCCTTACGTTTTTTTTTTTTGGGCGAAAAATTAAGTTTCTCCAATCTTCTCAAACTCTGGATTATGATAAAGGGCTATGAGACTTAGACCTGAGTGCAAAAATGGAGGCTCTAGACCCTTCCAGAGCTGAGATATCGAAACTCAAAAAATTCAACCCGAAAAAAAAACGACAGTGGTACCCCTTACGTTTTTTTTTTTTGGGCGAAAAATTAAGTTTCTCCAATCTTCTCAAAACTCTGGATTATGATAAAGGGCCATGAGACTTAGACCTGAGTGCAAAAATGGAGGCTCTAGCCCCTTTCAGAGCTGAGATATCGAAACTCAAAAATTCGCCCGAAAAAAAAACGACAGTGGTACCCCTTTACTTTTTTTTTTTTGGGCGAAAAATTAAGTTTCTCCAATCTTCTCAAAACTCTGGATTATGATAAAGGGCTATGAGACTTAGACCTGAGTGCAAAAATGGAGGCTCTAGCCCCTTCCAGAGCTGAGATATCGAAACTCAAAAATCGCCCGAAAAAAAAAACGACAGTGGTACCCCTCTTTTTTTTTTTTGGGCGAAAAAATTAAGTTTCTCCAATCTTCTCAAAACTCTGGATTATGATAAGGGCTATGAGACTTAGACCTGAGTGCAAAAATGGAGGCTCTAGACCCTTCCAGAGCTGAGATATCGAAACTCAAAAATTCACCCCCCCCAAAAAAAAACGACAGTGGTATCCCTTACATTTTTTTTTTTGGGCGAAAAATTAAGTTTCTCCAATCTTCTCAAAACTCTGGATTATGATAAAGGGCCATGAGACTTAGACCTGAGTGCAAAAATGGAGGCTCTAGACCCTTCCAGAGCTGAGATATCGAAACTCAAAAATTCAACCCGAAAAAAAAAACGACAGTGGTACCCCTTACGTTTTTTTTTTTTGGGCGAAAAATTAAGTTTCTCCAATCTTCTCAAAACTCTGGATTATGATAAAGGGCTATGAGACTTAGACCTGAGTGCAAAAATGGAGGCTCTAGACCCTTTCAGAGCTGAGATATCGAAACTCAAAAATTCAACCCGAAAAAAAAAACGACAGTGGTACCCCTTACGTTTTTTTTTTTGGGCGAAAAATTAAGTTTCTCCAATCTTCTCAAAACTCTGGATTATGATAAGGGCTATGAGACTTAGACCTGAGTGCAAAAATGGAGGCTCTAGACCCTTCCAGAGCTGAGATATCGAAACTCAAAAATTCAACCCGAAAAAAAAACGACAGTGGTACCCCTTACGTTTTTTTTTTTGGGCGAAAAATTAAGTTTCTCCAATCTTCTCAAAACTCTGGATTATGATAAAGGGCTATGAGACTTAGACCTGAGTGCAAAAATGGAGGCTCTAGACCCCTTCCAGAGCTGAGATATCGAAACTCAAAAATTCAACCCGAAAAAAAAACGACAGTGGTACCCCTTACGTTTTTTTTTTTTGGGCGAAAAATTAAGTTTCTCCAATCTTCTCAAAACTCTGGATTATGATAAAGGGCTATGAGACTTAGACCTGAGTGCAAAAATGGAGGCTCTAGACCCTTCCAGAGCTGAGATATCGAAACTCAAAAATTCAACCCGAAAAAAAAAACGACAGTGGTACCCCTTACGTTTTTTTTTTGGGCGAAAAATTAAGTTTCTCCAATCTTCTCAAAACTCTGGATTATGATAAAGGGCCATGAGACTTAGACCTGAGTGCAAAAATGGAGGCTCTAGACCCTTCCAGAGCTGAGATATCGAAACTCAAAAATTCAACCCGAAAAAAAACGACAGTGGTACCCCTTACGTTTTTTTTTTTTGGGCGAAAAATTAAGTTTCTCCAATCTTCTCAAAACTCTGGATTATGATAAAGGGCTATGAGACTTAGACCTGAGTGCAAAAATGGAGGCTCTAGACCCTTCCAGAGCTGAGATATCGAAACTCAAAAATTCAACCCGAAAAAAAAAACGACAGTGGTACCCCTTACGTTTTTTTTTTTTGGGCGAAAAATTAAGTTTCTCCAATCTTCTCAAAACTCTGGATTATGATAAAGGGCCATGAGACTTAGACCTGAGTGCAAAAATGGAGGCTCTAGACCCTTCCAGAGCTGAGATATCGAAACTCAAAAATTCAACCCGAAAAAAAAACGACAGTGGTACCCCTTACGTTTTTTTTTTTTGGGCGAAAAATTAAGTTTCTCCAATCTTCTCAAAACTCTGGATTATGATAAAGGGCTATGAGACTTAGACCTGAGTGCAAAAATGGAGGCTCTAGACCCTTCCAGAGCTGAGATATCGAAACTCAAAAATTCAACCCGAAAAAAAAACGACAGTGGTACCCCTTACGTTTTTTTTTTTTGGGCGAAAAATTAAGTTTCTCCAATCTTCTCAAAACTCTGGATTATAATAAAGGGCTATGAGACTTAGACCTGAGTGCAAAAATGGAGGCTCTAGACCCTTCCAGAGCTGAGATATCGAAACTCAAAAATTCAACCCGAAAAAAAAACGACAGTGGTACCCCTTACGTTTTTTTTTTTTGGGCGAAAAATTAAGTTTCTCCAATCTTCTCAAAACTCTGGATTATGATAAAGGGCTATGAGACTTAGACCTGAGTGCAAAAATGGAGGCTCTAGACCCTTCCAGAGCTGAGATATCGAAACTCAAAAATTCAACCCGAAAAAAAAACGACAGTGGTACCCCTTACGTTTTTTTTTTTTGGGCGAAAAATTAAGTTTCTCCAATCTTCTCAAAACTCTGGATTATAATAAAGGGCTATGAGACTTAGACCTGAGTGCAAAAATGGAGGCTCTAGCCCCTTCCAGAGCTGAGATATCGAAACTCAAAAATCCGCCCCAAAAAAAAACGACAGTGGTACCCCTTACGTTTTTTTTTTTTGGGCGAAAAATTAAGTTTCTCCAATCTTCTCAAAACTCTGGATTATGATAAAGGGCTATGAGACTTAGACCTGAGTGCAAAAATGGAGGCTCTAGACCCTTCCAGAGCTGAGATATCGAAACTCAAAAATTCAACCCAAAAAAAAAACGACAGTGGTACCCCTTACGTTTTTTTTTTTGGGCGAAAAATTAAGTTTCTCCAATCTTCTCAAAACTCTGGATTATGATAAAGGGCTATGAGACTTAGACCTGAGTGCAAAAATGGAGGCTCTAGACCCTTCCAGAGCTGAGATATCGAAACTCAAAAATTCGACCCGAAAAAAAAACGACAGTGGTACCCCTTACGTTTTTTTTTTTTGGGGCGAAAAATTAAGTTTCTCCAATCTTCTCAAAACTCTGGATTATGATAAAGGGCCATGAGACTTAGACCTGAGTGCAAAAATGGAGGCTCTAGACCCTTCCAGAGCTGAGATATCGAAACTCAAAAATTCGGCCCGAAAAAAAAAACGACAGTGGTACCCCTTACGTTTTTTTTTTTTTGGGGCGAAAAATTAAGTTTCTCCAATCTTCTCAAAACTCTGGATTATGATAAAGGGCTATGAGACTTAGACCTGAGTGCAAAAATGGAGGCTCTAGACCCTTCCAGAGCTGAGATATCGAAACTCAAAAATTCGGCCCAAAAAAAAAACGACAGTGGTACCCCTTACGTTTTTTTTTTTGGGCGAAAAATTAAGTTTCTCCAATCTTCTCAAAACTCTGGATTATGATAAAGGGCTATGAGACTTAGACCTGAGTGCAAAAATGGAGGCTCTAGCCCCTTCCAGAGCTGAGATATCAAAACTCAAAAATTCGGCCCAAAAAAAAAAACGACAATGGTACCCCTTACGTTTTTTTTTTTGGGCGAAAAATTAAGTTTCTCCAATCTTCTCAAAACTCTGGATTATGATAAAGGGCTATGAGACTTAGACCTGAGTGCAAAAATGGAGGCTCTAGACCCTTCCAGAGCTGAGATATTTAGATCCCGCGTAACATTTATGCCACTATAATTATCTCAATATCTCAGCTCTGGAAGGGTCTAGAGCCTCCATTTTTGCACTCAGGTCTAAGTCTCATGGCCCTCTATCAGAATCCAGAGTTTCAAGAAGATCAGAGAAACTCAAAATTTCGACCCGAAAAAAAAACGACAGTGGTACGTACCCCTTTCGTTTTTCGTTTTTTTGTGCGAAAAAAAAAGTTTCTCCAATCTTCTCAAAACTATGGATTCTGATAGAGGGCCAAGAGACTTTGACTTGAGTGCAAAAATGGAGGCTCTAGACCCTTCCAGAGCTGAGATATTGAGATCCCGCATAGCATTTATGCCATTATAAATATTTCAATATCTCAGCTTAGTATCTCAATATATCATATCTCAATATCTCATATCTCAATATCTTAACTCTTTATTGAACTCTTTAATCATAATTTCAAGAAATTTAAAAGTGTGATTTTTTGTTGTGTTAATGAAACATCATTTCTCATCTCACGATGAATTAATAAAAGCATTTGCGAAATAATAAATGTTCCAGTTCAGACAAAAAAATGCAGATTATATTTATTAAAAAAAAACAAGAACACAGATCAAATATACAACAATTCACCCCATGGCATGATTTACATCCTCACACTCGTTAGATAAAGATTGTGTTGAAATGAAAGGCACGCGTGTCAAAGGTCATCAGAGTCTCACTGGTTGAAAGGCCTCATCGGGTTCAGGGTCACACACGGCCAGCAGGAGGCGCTCTTGCTCTACACTTGAGGAAACCGGCTCTCACATCAGCTTGTGATCCCTTCAGTCTGTCGGAGTGAGAGAGAGATACAGAGAAAGAAAGAGAGAGAGGGAGTGTCTTCGTGTGTCGTTCCCAGCGTCGCCAACACACACATCACAGCATGAACGACTGAGTGTGTTTGAAATCCTGAGGCTGGAGGAAGAGAAATCATTCAGAATTCAGTTTCATAAAAATCCATTTTCTTTCCAATAATTCTATTCAATATTCACCACAGTAGATCAGAAACATCCTGTGAAATTATAATGATTAGCATTTCTAAAAGTCCTCAGTGTGTGTCCTCAGTGTGTGTATTTTTTACAGTCTATGGTGTGAATGGATCAATTCACAAAATAAAATTTAATTAGAGGAGAAACTGATACTTTGTAAAATGTTCACAGATACAATGTGTTGAGATTCATGTGGATCTTCAGTCTGTGAATCGATCGGAATCTCCATCGATGTGAAAATCTCAAACTCACTTCTTTTGAAGGATGACTGTATCCTGACGTCTGACTGAAACACACAAAACACACCGTTACACACTGAAACACACACAACACACTGTTAAACACTGAAACACACAAAACACACCGTTAAACACTGAAACACACACAACACACCGTTAAACACTGAAACACACAAAACACACCGTTACACACTGAAACACAAAACACTGAAACACACAAATCACACCGTTAAACACTGAAACACACAAAACACACAACACACCGTTAAACACTGAAACACACAAAAACACACAACACACCGTTAAACACTGAAACACACAAAACACTGAAAACACACAAATCACACCGTTAAACACTGAAACACACAAATCACACCGTTAAACACTGAAACACACAAATCACACCGTTAAACACTGAAACACACAAAACACACAACACACCGTTAAACACTGAAACACACAAAACACACAACACACCGTTAAACACTGAAACACACAAAAACACACAACACACCGTTAAACACTGAAACACACAAACACACAAACACCGTTAAACACTGAAACACACAAAACACTGAAACACACAAATCACACCGTTAAACAGTGAAACACACAAATCACACCGTTAAACACTGAAACACACAAATCACACCGTTAAACACTGAAACACACAAAACACACCGTTACACACTGAAACACACAAATCACACCGTTAAACACTGAAACACACAACACTGAAACACACAAATCACACCGTTAAACACTGAAACACACAACACTGAAACACACAAAATCACACCGTTAAACACTGAAACACACAACACTGAAACACACAAATCACACCGTTAAACACTGAAACACACACAACACACTGTTAAACACTGAAACACACAAAACACTGAAACACACAAATCACACCGTTAAACACTGAAACACACAACACTGAAACACACAAATCACACCGTTAAACACTGAAAACACACACAACACACTGTTAAACACTGAAACACACAAAACACTGAAACACACAAATCACACCGTTAAACACTGAAACACACAAAACACACCGTTAAACACTGAAACACACAAATCACACCGTTTAAACACTGAAACACACAAATCACACCGTTAAACACTGAAACACACAAATCACACCGTTAAACACTGAAACACACAAAACACACCGTTACACACTGAAACACACAAATCACACCGTTAAACACTGAAACACACAACACTGAAACACACAAATCACACCGTTAAACACTGAAACACACAAAACACACCGTTAAACACTGAAACACACAAATCACACCGTTAAACACTGAAACACACAAATCACACCGTTAAACACTGAAACACACAAAACACACCGTTAAACACTGAAACACACAAATCACACCGTTAAACACTGAAACACACAAACACACCGTTAAACACTGAAACACACAAAACACACCGTTAAACACTGAAACACACAAATCACACCGTTAAACACTGAAACACACAAATCACACCGTTAAACACTGAAACACACAAATCACACCGTTAAACACTGAAACACACAAAACACACCGTTAAACACTGAAACACACAAATCACACCGTTAAACACTGAAACACACAAAACACACCGTTAAACACTGAAACACACAAATCACACCGTTAAACACTGAAACACACAAAACACACCGTTAAACACTGAAACACACAAAACACACCGTTAAACACTGAAACACACAAAACACACCGTTAAACACTGAAACACACAAAACACACCGTTAAACACTGAAACACACAAATCACACCGTTAAACACTGAAACACACAAAACACACCGTTAAACACTGAAACACACAAAACACACCGTTAAACACTGAAACACACAAAACACACCGTTAAACACTGAAACACACAAAACACACCGTTAAACACTGAAACACACAAAACACACCGTTAAACACTGAAACACACAAAACACACCGTTAAACACTGAAACACACAAATCACACCGTTAAACACTGAAACACACAAATCACACCGTTAAACACTGAAACACACAAAACACACCGTTAAACACTGAAACACACAAATCACACCGTTAAACACTGAAACACACAAAACACACCGTTAAACACTGAAACACACAAATCACACCGTTAAACACTGAAACACACAAAACACACAAGTTCGGTTCTGTGATCAAGTGAACCGTTAAACACTGAAACAAAATACCAACATCAATAATCATACTGTCATACACTCTTTCACACACACACATCTTCTCTCTATCACACACACTCTCTATCTCTCTCTATCTCACACACTCACTTTTCACACAGACACTCATTCACTCTCACACACACTCGCTCTCATACACACTCATTCTCACACACACACAAACACTCTCTCACGCTCACACACACCCTCAGGCGTGTCTGTCTCCGGCCCCTGTCAGGTGTGTGTGTGTGTGTCAGTGGTTCTGACTCACGTGTGTTCGGTTCTGTTGAGGTTCTGGCTGCTAATGTGCGGCGCACCGTGACAATGCGGGATCCAGAACGACCTGTAATAACGCACCACTGAGGTCAAAGGTCAAGTGTTTCACCGGTGCTGGTGCTCAAACACGCCGTGCGTCATGCAGCATTATGGGAAATTAGCGTGTGTGTGGGTGTGTGTGACGCGGAGGGATCAAGTGAACGCATGCAGTAAAACACGATCAAGACACTTGAACAGAACGAAATCTGATGTTGGATCAATCTTGACCATTAGTACCTTCACACACACACACACGCACACACACACCCACTCAAATACACACACACACACAGCTGAGTCGTAGCTCTTCTTACCTCCCTCTGTGTCCTGTGAATGTTCAGTCAGTGGCAGAAATGAAAAACATTAAACACATTAATAAACTCTGAAACACTGATGGAATCTCAATGTTATTTTTAAATAAAAATAAAGTAGCAGGTATTTCTTTTTTAATGGAAATTGAAAAAGTTGCCTTGGAAACAAACTGAACTCAGTTTGAGTGAATATTAAATCAACTACAGTGTCTGTACAAGAACTAACAGGACTAACACTGAAATAACAATTACAGAAGCACTTCACGAAATGTCTAAACCTGAAGACATAAACACAAAAGCCAATTTAAAATATGAATAAATACAATAACAGTGAATAAATGTGAACTCACGACTGAAGTATCCATGGCGACGGGCGTAACACACACCGAAAACACATAACAACAGCGTCACACACAGCAGGAGAACACCGGAGACCACAGCCGCTATGTTCACATCATCTGTGTGTGTGTGTGAGAGAGAGAGAAAGAGAATTTATTTAAGCTATTTTTTTTCTTCAAAAACCCATACATTACATATTAGGGATTATTCAATACAATTTGAGAAAAATGATTCTTCATCTGTATCCAATAAACGCCACTTTCTTATATTTTCTCTCCAATATTCAAAACCATAACTAAATACAACAAAGTGTTCTGTTGTGTGTTAGTACAAATATGCCTCCAAATTATAATTAACCCCTTAACGTCTGAATTTCTATAGCTGTATATAAAAAAATGTTTTATGTGTGTTTAGTAGATGGTAAATAATGTTGAGATTATCAATTTCACTTTTGCACAACAAATAAATAGAAATGTTGGTATGTTGCAAATCTGCAACAACGGGCATAATGGTCAATTCGGTATGTTGCAAATGTTCCTGACCGGAGAAATCCTCGTGCGTAAACAGGAAATAAGTCCGTCACTTTGAAACAAGTGCTTGTCGAAGGTCCTAGGTGCGTAGTGAATATGCACAAACCGGCATTGGGGGAGTGCAGACGTTATCTCGGAGTCAAATGGTTTGTTGCATATTTGCGACAGTGGGCGTTAAGGGGTTAAAGTCAGCATGAAATCAATGGCGGGGCTTTAACCTGTCACTCACATGAGATCAGCCAATAGCAAACCACAACCATCCAATCAATTCCCCACAGGCACAGTCAAGCCCCGCCCACATGTGTTCTTGTTCCCGAAAGCGTTTCTCTTTGATGTACGACACAATACTCTCTCATATATCGGTTCTGACTCACCGATCTGCATCAGCGTCCCCTGGCAGCTCTTAGCGGGCCCCACGCCGTTCTTGGCCTCGCAGTGATACTGACCCGTGTCGGCCCTGCTCACCGTCTGGAAGCTCTGATCCGTACAGAAGAGCATAAGTTAGAGAACACCAGCCAAACACGCCTTTACCTCCTGCAGTCGGATCGGGAATCAAGATCCGGTTCATGAATTGTCACTTTGAATCAATCTAATGAGTCGCTCACTCAGTGAATCACTCTACTGAGTCACTCACTCAATGAATCACTCTAATGAGTCACTCACTCAATGAATCACTCTAATGAGTCACTCACTCAATGAATCACTCATGAATCACTCTAATGAGTCACTCATTCAATGAATCACTCTAATGAGTCACTCAATGAATCACTCTAATGAGTCACTCACTCAATGAATCACACTAATGAGTCACTCATTCAATGAATCACTCTAATGAGTCACTCACTCAATGAATCACACTATTGAGTCACTCACTCAATTAATCACTCATGAATCACTGTAATGAGTCATTCATTCAATCACTCTAATGAGTCACTTACTCAATGAATCACTCTACTGAGTCACTCACTCAATTAATCACTCATGAATCACTGTAATGAGTCATTCATTCAATCAATCACTCTAATGAGTCACTCAATGAATAACTCTAATGAGTCACTCATTCAATGAATCACTCTAATGATTCACTCAATGAATCACTCTAATGAGTCACTCACTCAATGAATCACACTATTGAGTCACTCACTCAATTAATCACTCATGAATCACTGTAATGAGTCATTCATTCAATCAATCACTCTAATGAGTCACTCACTCAAAGAATCACTCTACTGAGTCACTCAATGAATCACTCTAATGAGTCACTCACTCAATGAATCACTCTAATGAGTCACTCACTCAATGAATCACTCTTATGAGTCACTCATTCAATGAATCCCTCTAATGAGTCAATCACTCAATGAATCACTCTTATGAGTCACTCACTCAATGAATCACTCTAATGAGTCACTCACGCAATTCATCACTCTAATGATTCACTCAATGAATCAATATAATGAATCACTCACTCAATGTTTACATTTACATTTATGCATTTGACAATTCAAGTTACATATTACCATTAATATCAGTTCTTGTTATGAATTATGAATTATGATTAATTCAAAGAATCAGTGTTGAAAACGGCTTGATATTTTTGTGGAAACTGATGCGTTTTATTTTTTTCAGGATTCTTTGATGAATTGAAAGTTCAAAAGTACAGCATTTATTTGAAATAGAATCTTTTGTGACATTATAAATGTCACTTTTGATCTAAAGATTCAGAGCTGAAATCAGGCACAGAATGGTTGTATTGCTTGTGTGTGTGTGTGTGTGTGTGTGTGTGTGTGACAGACAGTCAGTGTTGTTCAGAGACGCTCGTGTCGGTCTGTCAGCATCAGTTAGTCTGTGTGTCACTCAGAGATTCAGAACAACATGAGGACATTCACTGACACTCAACAGACTCGCTTTCATCACACACACACAATTAAAACCGCTGCAATGACTGGATTTATGATTAATCACTCGCTTTGTAATTATTTGCTCATATTTGCCTTTAAATACATATTCATCCTTTCAAATGAAGTACAGTCAATCAGTGCTTGTAAATTCAGCTCTGCCTACGAGGAAAGAAATGTTCATCAAAGACGTTTTACTGTCTAATTTTTAAACTTCAATTAAATATTTAAATCTCAAGACATACTTTCACGAAAGCCTTTTATTTAATTTGGCTATTATTTTGACATGTATGTTTGAGTGCTGTCGATTAATCACATCTAACTAAAAAACTGTGTTTATATAATGTATATATATGTATATGTATGTGTGTGTTTGTGCTGATACTGACCAGTACGCCGGTGAACTCGTTGACGGTGTAGCTGGCGTTGGGCTGGCGGATGGGTATCGCGCGGTTGTCTTTATACCAGGTGTAGACTGCGGGGGGGATGCTGTGATGGTCCCTACAGCGCAGCTCCACCAGAGAGCCCGTCAGAGCGGAGCTGGGAACCTCACAGGCCGGGGTTTGTGGAGGCACTGCAGCACAGACAACAGTAAACACGTACGTGTGTGTGTGTGTGTGTGTGTGTGTGTCCACGTGTCCAGCTAAAGTTAGTTTTGTGTAATAGCTCGCATTATTTTGCAGTATATTCCCATTACCCAGCACTCGTAGCGTGACGTTGGTCTCTCCTAACGTGACGGCGTCGGCAGGAGCGCTGACCTCACACCGGTACTCGCCCGCGTCCTCCTGAGTGACCCTGAGCAGCTTCACCGTCGCCCCCTCCATCTCAGCGCGCTTCTGAAACGGCCCTGCACAATAATCATGATTATAATATTTACCATTTATGCATTTCCCAGACGCTTTGCCTTTTATCCAAAGCGATTTACATTGCATTTCAAGCTACACATTTACAATCTTAGTGGTGTTGCACTTGGTGTCGCAAGTGCCAACTTTGTTCTATAGTGCCTTTAAAGGGGTCGACGGATGGCTATTTTCCACAAGTTGGTATGATTCTTTAAGGACTTCATGTAAAGTTTGTAATATGCATGTCTCTTTAAATGATATGATAATGAGGTGCATGTCTCTTTAAATGATAATGAGGTGCATGTCTCTTTAAATGATAATGAGGTGCATGTCTCTTTAAATGATATGATAATGAGGTGCATGTCTCTTTAAATTATATGATAATGAGGTGCATGTCTCTTTAAATTATATGATAATGAGGTGCATGTCTCTTTAAATGATAATGAGGCGCATGTCTCTTAAAATGATAATGAGGCAACCACATTTCAACACCTTAGCAACAACACAGAAAACCTTAGCAATCATATATATTTTTAGCCTGTTGCTATGTGGTTGCTGAGGCGTTTGCAAGGACATTGGTTTATGTTGTGATGGTGTATTGAGTGGTTGCTAGGGTGTTATGAGTGTTTTTCGGGTGTTGGTATGCAATTTCTATGGTGTTACTAAGGTGTCACAAATATTTTAGTGTGTTGCTATGTGGGTTTTAGGTGGTGTCTGCTAGGGAATATACAATGCTTAAGGTGTTCTGTGTTGTAGCTAAGGTGTTGCTATGTGGTTGCTGAGGAATGAGTGTTTTTTTAGCCTGTTGCTATGTGGTAGCTAGGATGCTCTATGCGTTTGCAAGGACATTGATAAATGGGAGTGGTTGCTAGGGTGTTATGAGTGTTCCTATGCAATTTCTAGGGTGTCGCTATGTGGTGGTTAAGGGTGTTATGAATGTTTTTAGGTGTTGCTATGTGGTTTCCAAGAGGTCTATGCTAGAGAACACCTATACAATTGCAGAGGTGTTCTGTGTGGTTGCTAAGGCATTGCTCTGTGGTTGTTGAGGTGTTAAGTTATTTCTAACATGTTGCTATGTGTTTGCTAGGGCATTTATGACTGCTATGGTGTTCCAAGTGGTTGCTAAGGTGTTGCTATGCAGTTCCTGAGGTGGTATAAGAGGTGTTTTATATGTTGCTAGGGTGTCGATATGCAAACCTCTCCTCAACAAGACATTAGAGGAATCATCAATTCGCCAGTTACCTACGAAACGTCCTTCATAATAAACGAAGGACACGTCTTTGTCCTTCTTCTTCCACTCGATACGAGGGTTCATTTCTTTCTCGGTCTTGAACTCACAGGAGAGCACGGCGTCTGCGGAGGACAAGCACACATCATGGAGTTAGTGGGGCACATCATCCCACTGATGTCTGCAAGGCGATGGCACACACACACACACCCGAGAACTCGTGCACTTCCACGTTGGGACTGTGGCTGGTGACGGTGACCGGGACGACAGGGACGCCTGAAACAGAGAACAACACAATCTCAGTCTCCAAAATACTGTGACAAAAAGATGTTCACAAAAACGCATCTGTGTGATGTTCAGATGTTCATCATTGGTGGTTTGACTTCCTGACCGTTATGAATGTTTTTAGTGTGTTGCTATGTGGTTTCTAGGTGTTTAGGGTATATCTGTATGGTCGCTAAGGTGTTTTGAGTGGTTGCTAGGGTGTTATGAATGTTTATTTGTGTGTTGCTATGTGGTGTTTGCTAAGGCATATCTATGCAGTTGGTCATGGTTACTAAGGCATTGCTATGTGGTTGCTGTTGTGAGTGTGTTTTTATATGTTGCTATGTGGTTGCTAGGGTGTTCTAGGTATTTGCTAGGGCATTGACATAAGGTTGCTACAGAATTCTGGGTAGTTGCTAGGGTGTGATAAGTGTTTTTGTGTATTGTTATGCAGTTTCTATGGTTTTGCTATGGGGTTCCTGAGTTAGTATGCGTAGATTTTGATATGTTTCTATGTTTGCTTATCTCTACTGCTGCTATGGTTTCTGTGTGGTCACTAAGGTGTTGCTATGTAGTGGCTGAGGTGTTATACGTGATTTTTAGTGTGCTAGGGTGCCATTATGAGTGCGTTTTGAAATGTTGCTATGTGTTTGCTAGGCCGTTCTAGGCATTTCCTATGGCATATCTGTGTGTGTATATAAATATATATATATCTGTCCTAAGTTGTTGCTAAGGTGTTGCTATGCGGTTGCTAGGATGTTTTTGTGTGTTGCAATACAGTTGCTAGGGTGTTCTGAGTGGTTGCTAGGGTGGCATGTGGTTCCTGAAGTGGTATGCGAAGGTTTTGATAGGTTTCTATGCAGTTGCTAGGGTGTTGCTATGCTGCATAGCAACTATGCTGCTTTGCTTTGATAGGTTTCTATGCAGTTGCTAGGGTGTTGCTATGCTGCATAGCAACTGAGTGAATCACTGAAGTGAATTTTCTTAACCTTTATTTATATAGTGCTTTATACAATACAGATTCTTTCAAAGCAGCTAATAGTGCTCAATGAAAAGTGTTGCAGACTCCCAGTGGGATGAACAGACACAAAATGGATTTCTAAACATAGTTGGTCTCATTCTTCTCTGAAGGTCCAGCTTCTGTGTATTATGGCTAAAGTTGATTCACTTGCAGGAAACGGAAGCAGGTGTTTCCCTTCTTGAATAAAATGACAGCCATTGTTGGCTTTCCTGTTTCTGCCCACGTGTGACTGACTTTAATCAGACCACGACCCACAAGAGATAAAGTTCACGGACCAAACTAAAGCTTTCCAGATCACATTCACTTGTGCTGATGCTTTTACAAAACCCACGTTGCATTCATATAAATCACTTTTAGATAGCTACTTGATTAAAACTCATCATTACCAGAGGTTTCAAATAAAACAAGATCAAATCTTCGTCCCTCAGCTGAAATTAAATTATACTAAAACCACCAGTAGGTGGCGGCAAATCAATGTCAATCAAGAGAGTCATTGAATCATTCAGTAAAACGATTCGTTCGAAACGGCTGATTCAT